GTTTCCCATGGGGAATCAATAAGATCTAGCATATTGGTTTGAGGAAGGACCAAGTCCCTCCCTGCTATATCTAGGCTGAGCAAGGTATCCCTCCAAACAGAATGGGTTTCATAAAGCCAATCCAAGCAGTAGGGATAAATCCTGGCCCCACTGCATGTGGTCCCACAGTCTGCTCCAGCCATACAATTGTCACCCACATTCAGAGGTCCTGGTTTGGTCCTATACTGGTTCCTTCCCTATCCGATTTGATTTGGTGTGCTCTCATTAGCTCAGGTAAGCCGTCTCAGTGGGTGTACCCATCATGGTCTTGACCTTTTTGCTCATATTCTGTCTCCTCCCATTCTTTGACTGGACTTTGAGAGCTCAGTCCAGTGCTTCGCTGTGGGTCTCTGCCTCTGCTTCCAGCAGTTGCTGGATGAAGGTTCTATGGTGACATTTAAGATAGTCATCAATCTGACTACAGGGCAAGGCCAATTTGGACACCCTCTCCACTATTGCTTAGGGTCTTCACTGGGGTCATCCTTGTGGATTCCTGGGAATTTCTGTAGTGCCAGGTTTCTTGCTAGCCCCATAATTGCTCCCTCAGTCAAGACATCTCTTTCCTTGCTCTCTTTCTCTGTACTTCCCCCATTTCAGCTATCCAGTTTCCTCAAGTCCTCCTCCCCATGCCCACTCTCCCTTCCTTGTCCTCTTCTTCTCTCCTTTCTCCCCCAATCCCCATGCAATGAGGGGAATCTAGAACCCAGGAAGACAGAGACTTTGGGTAGGAGGCTGTGCGAATTCAGTGTGGGAAGACTGTAATTCTCTGGAGTGCCAGGTTACTTAACCCCAGCTGGAGAGGGTTAGCCCTCCTCCACAGAGGTCCAGTTTCTTAGACAACACCAAGTTTCAAGTTTGATGAATTAGTCTACACATCCTTGCTATTTTCCCTGGACAGATATGAATAAGGAAATTGTAGCCTGAAGACTGACTCCAGATGTTGTTTCTCAAAGGCATTTTATTTATTTAAGTGCAGCAGAGTGTAACCATTCTTTCAAACGTGTGAAATCCAAGTTTAATGTCCATAAATAAGCTTTGTTGGAACAAATTATGGCTATTGCCTTTCATGACTGTGGCCACTTGGTACAATACTTGTCCATGAGCAAACACAAAACATTTCTTTTTAATAACAAAAATTTGGAGAGTTCCATGGTGAATTAGATGGTGAAATGCGCCCATTATCCAGTTGTTCCTGCACTAACTGCTGGGCAGCTTGTAATTTTTCTTGTATTAGAGGCCACTGATTTACCCATACAGGTTCATCACTTTTCCATACTTTTGGGTCTGCATGGAGTGCAGGTTTTTCAGTGACCTCTCCTAAAAATACCCTAATCCTGTCCTAGGAGGTCTACTGTCTGGTACAACAGGATCAACCTTTCCCTTATTGTTCTTGTCTAGACCTTGATTAGGTAATAATCCTTGTTGAAACATCTGATTAGTAACAGCTGTGCTGGGGGAATCTAAATATATTCCCATTCTGGACATAATATCTTGGCCCATAAATTCATGGGTAAATAAGGAATAATATATGGCTTAAAAGTTCCTTCATGGCCTTCCTCATCTTTCCAATGCAGTTCATTACTACTCTGTTCAGGATTTCTAGTCTGACCAATTCTTTGTAGCTGTGTAATAGTCTCCGTTTTTGGCCACTTAGAAGGCCACTGGCTGGTGGTTATAACGGAAATATATGCACCAGTATCTAGAAGGCCAGAGAATCCTTTTCCATTTATAACCAAAGTGAGTTCTGATCTCTGAGGACCTATGGCTTTTACCCAATGTGCATCAGACAAACCAAATCCATCCTTTCCTCTCTTTTCTTTCTTACTCTGATTATTGGTTTGCACAGCTGGAAGTAAAACTAATTGTGCAAGCCTCTGACCTGCTTCTACTACAGAAACTCCACTTAGTGAGTGAGTCATCACCTTGATCTCTCCCTCAAAATCAGAATCAATTACTCCAGGAGCCACAGTGATCCCTTGTATAGTTGAGCTACTTCTTCCTAACAATAATTCTACAGTGCCTTTTGGTAAAGGCCCATAGACCCCTGTGGAGAGAGCTTGTATCCCCATTTCAGGTGTCAGAACCATATATATGGAAGAACTGAGGTCGAGCCCTGAGCTTCCTGGTGTGGCTCTGAAAAGGTCCTGTCTAGATTTCCTTGTGGGGGTACAGATTGCTGGATTGCCCCTTAATTTTGTCTGTGGGCCTGAGGCTGGCCCCTGCGTCCGTTTCATGAAAGGGATTTCCTAGATAATGTCTTTTTGATCTGCACTCACTAGTTCAATACTTTCCTCTCCTGCATCTCCTACGCAATTCTGGTTCTCTTCTAGTCCTTGGGCTTACTCTCCTATAAGGACATCATCTGACCTGATGCCCCATAAGACAGTATCCAAAACAACCTCCAGGTGTAGCTTGTGTTCTCCCTGGGGCTAGGTCTCCCTGCTGGGATAAGACATTATTAATTGTCTTCCCCTTTAAGGCAGCAGCTAAGGCCATTCCTTGTGTATAGGATTGATCAATATTCGAGCAAATTCGGGTATAATCTGTAATGTTATCCTGTTTCTTAAAGGTCTTATAGCCGCCTTGCTTACAGAATTGGCCTTCTCAAATGCTGTTTAATTATTATCTGTCCTGTTTCCGAGTCTCCAATCAATCTGTTAGATGCCTGTGTTTGTCTGGAAAAAAAAGTCTTGAAATAACTCATCTGGTCCCTGTTTTATACTAGACAACTCCTCAGTTTGTTCTTTTGACATTGGAAGCTTACTCCAGGCCTTCTTGGCTGCTGCACTAATTTGAACATATGCTGCTATATCATATTCTAACCATTGATTTGTTCCCGTATAAGGTCCCTCACCTGCAAGCATCTCATACGAAATAGGAATTTGCTGGGCTCTGTTTCTCTCAGCTGTGTCCCGACACTGTTCTGTAAATTCGGTTTTCCACCATGGATAATCTCCTCCTGACAGGCAAGCCTTGGCTATCTGCTTCCAATTCGCTGGTGGCGGAGCTTCTATGGCTATATTTTCTAACAGTGTCTGGGTGAAGGATGCCGTGGCACTGTATTGAGCACAAGTGGTTTTTAATTTTTTGAGTAACTTAAATGATGTAGGAGTATGTAATCTAAGCAGATGTCATTGTGCATCTCTCTGTTCCATTACTGGGAACAATTGAAATCCTTGCATCTCTTCTCCTCTGCTAGCAAGTTCTCTGATACAAGCTTGGAGAGGAGAATTGCTGCTATTGTTATGTTTCTGTTTTACTTTCCGCGTACTCTGAACTTTTGGGTGGATCTAAACCTGCTATTTCTATAGGAAGAGTATTGCTCTTCTGACAAGAGTCCTGTATCTGCATAGTTCCTAATCTGTGAGATAGCGAGGTTACCATCCTTCTCAAGCCTTTTATTTCTTTCTCTCCCTGTCTCTCAGAGCTGCTGTTTGCTAGTGAGAGAGATGAAGACTCCCTTTCATAGTCTAAATCTTTAGTCTCTGACCCTACTGTAACTGCTCTTTCATGAGAGTATCTTGCAACTCCTCAGGTGGCACGGATGTAAGTATCTCCTGCTGGTCAGGATTTCAGTCCAACCTTTCCTGTATTAGCATCCAGCAATAAGGCGGTATCTTCAGGGATGCTTTCTGGTCCATAATTACAATAATGTTGTTGAATCCTCATTCCCAGTACTTTCCATATGCAACCTCTAAGGTCCTGCGCTCAGAAAACCGAGGGCATATCTCCTCTATGAATTCTAAAAATTCTTATATCTGATGCTGCTGCACTCTCTCTCCTCTGACTTTTAATATATCTTCAATCAACTGTATAGCCATTTGATTGCTATTTCCTTGTCTCATATTTCTATATTTACAAATTTTACTCCCGATATTACTGTCCTGCTTTATTATCTGAGCGCTCACTACTCACTTATTCACATGGGGTGAGGCTTTCACTCGCTTGTTCCTCACGGTCTCCTTCGTACTTCTGGTCCTTTCTCTGGCATTTCTCGGGGTTCAGCTGTCAGTCCGATATTAATTCTCATGTATGTTCACCCTCCCCCACCTGTTTCTTCAGGGTCTCAACTTTTCTCTGCCCCCACAAAAGTAGCACTCCTAAACTTTACCCCAGGGGTATAGAAATACCCTGGCTATTGTTACCAGCTGGTCAAGGGCGGGGTGTGAACTCAGAGCCTGTGATAGACAGATGATGTTAGAGGACAACTCCAGTCCTGAAGATACTGTCCATCCCTCAAGGACCCTTCCTGACATCTGTCCCCCAATAGACCTTGACTCCTCTGACAGAGATGCCTCAGAATCAGTATAGAGATTTTCTAAAAGGTTCTCCAGTGCTCTCCCTCAAGAAAGAAGATGGAGTGTATAGGAACCCCTGCCCTGACAGGAGCTAAAATGCTGGGTGGGAAGTCCTTGTTTGGTAGAGGTCAGCTCCTATGGATGGCTGCAGCTCACTAGAAACACAGAGGACCTATTCCTGCTGCCATCTATGTGGCCCAAGCAAGCTTCTGATGCCAGATCGATCCATGGGTGGAAATTTACAAATGGATGCACAGTGTCAGATAGTTGCATAGATGGCGGAGAGTAGTTTTATCTTGAGGATGTTTGCTCCTGTTATTCCATCTTTCCCTTTGATCCTGGGTCCCAGTGCATGTTGTGTTTGTGGAGGAGGTGAGGGTTCCCCCTGCACCAGCTCAGAGGCACTCAAAGGCACTCAGAGGTAGTGGAATGAAAAAGGAGGGGCAAGGGTTAATTTCAGAGGCACTGACCAGTAACACTGGCAAGACCAGCTACTGGCTCTTATGGAAGGCAAGGAGCTGCTGGGCTGACAGCTATGGAGCCTGGCTTCCCACCTGCCCATCCAGAGATCACAGGACTCAAGTCTGGAGGTTAACAAAGGAAAACAAATTTAATCAGAAGGGTCCATCAGGGTCCAGGGAATTCGTGGCCCACAAGGCATGCTCCAGGTCCATCTGCAGCTTACAGTAGGCTGAGGTCTGTGAGCCCAGGAGCATCCAGGACCATGAAGCCAGGCAGGAACAGCTCAGTGTATCTGTATCTTCTCTCACTGGCTTTCCCGGGCTGCTCCTTGAACTGCGGGATTGGAGGCCCATAGTTGTTACACAAGTCCCATTTGCAGCACCTTGCATATAAGAAGGGCAAGGGCTTTTGGGCTACAAAGGGCTTCGGCTGCGGTGCTCCATCAGAAGAGATAATAGTTTCATCTGGGCGCACTGGACAGAATCTGCTGCACTGCTTTGAAGACATGTAGAAACGTCCATAGAATTCTAATAGGAAAGAAAGGAAAAGATGTGATGAGCTCAAGGTCCTGATACCAGAGTCTCTAGGGGTTATCTGCATCCTTGAGACCCTGTCAGAGATCCTCACTTAAGGAGAGCATCAGTCAGAGGGTTGGAGCACCGCTCGGGAGGAAGAAGTCCAGGCTGTTCCAGGGTGGACTGTGTGGGGCTCCACGTGCTATGGGATTTGTGCTTCTATTTGGAAACACAGGATCCTTGAGCCTCAACTTTTTAAAAACACAGAATTGACTCAAGCGACTGAAACAGAAAAGCATATCAGAAGGAGCTCTGGCCATCCTGACTGAGATCCAGCTGAGAGGCTAGTCTTTGAACGTCATCTTGAATTGCACAAGAGAGTTTTCTTCATATTAAGGAATAAAGTTCCAATTAGCTGAATCCAGTCCTGCCTACTGCTCCCCCATCCTACAAACTTCCAAGACACAGAGAGACACACAGGGATGTGTGTGTGGTAGTGGTGATGGGGACAGAATTTGAATGCTCATGCTCTGAAAACCCTTATGTAGGTAGAATGGGATGGGTTCCCTGGATCCACTTTGGGAAGGAAAGCCTTCTAGTATCCAGAATTTTTGTAGTGAATCATGGGGTTGGGGGTAGGGGACTGAGTCAGTCTGCAAACACAAAAGCAATGGCCACTTCTCCAAGGGGATGAAGGTGTAACTGACCCTCATCAAACCTACCTAGATGCTGGTCTCAGTAAGGCATTTGTCATCATTAGAGTTCCATTTCTTTAAAGAGAAATAGCTACAGACAAATCTCTGCTCTTCTTCCGGCTCTCTAGTGCCCATGGCTGACTCCGTTGTTCCTGCCTGGCTCGTGCTTCCCCACACTTAGGCCGGCACCTGCTGCTCGTGACTTTCTCTTCTCAGCATTTTGTCTGCTTGGTTTTGTGTGTGTGTGTGTGTTATCGTTGTTACTGTTGTTTTTGTTTTTTAAAGGTACTTTAGATTGACAGGTTCTACTTCTAACAGCATTTGTGTCCTGCTCACAGGGTTCCAGGACGAACCCAGAATGAAGCAACACTTACAGATGGCAGCCACCACACAGAACTGTTCTTGAGGTTCACATTGCTTTGGATTTGTGCAGTTAAAGCTGTTCTCTGCCTCACAGGAGTGACAGGTGATTCTGTCTGAAGTGAGGGATTGGAGAAGAGAAAATGGGACATTGTTCCTCCTGCAGTACCAAACCCGTCATCCTATTCCAAGTGGCGGCCAAGTCCAGTGAGCTCCCACTCTCCCCATGCCCACAGTCTGTGCATGCCACCCAAGTTCTCAGCCTCCCTGTGGAGGCTCCCCCACCTGTCCACTGGGTATTTCACTTGGTCCTTCACATCCGGGCACACTGCATGAACCCACGTTCTCAAGCAGACACTCTTGAGTGTCCAGAACCCACGTTCTCAAACAGACACTCTTGAGTATCCAGAAATACCAAAGGGCATCCATTTCCATAGCCACCCTTTCTCCTGTCCCACCTCCTTTTTCCAGGTCCCTTCCTAGGTGGGCAATATAAACTCTCCTGCGTCAGGATTGGCGCAGGTCCAGCTAGGGGAAGACAATGGAGTCACCCTCTCCACTAATTCCCCATTCCTCAGGCAGTGCTGAAGCTCCAAGGTTAGGGTGGCCTTGGTTTTCTAAATTACCTTCCAAGAGGGAGGAGTGATGGGAGAGACAGACCAGGAGCCCCAGGGAATGAGTGCACAACTCTTGCCCCTAGGGGAAGTTCCTAATCAGAAGCACAGCCTTGCTGGCCTTCACCAGCATACCCCAACCCCTCCATCTCCAGGAGGCCCACTCCCGCCGGCCCTACCCCCTGACCCTCACCCCTTATCCCACCACCTCACCCCCCACCACACTGTAGCCTTCATGACATTGGGTCTCTCATTCCTGGACTTCAGTGTGATCTATCACAGTGGGCTCCCTCTGGCGTCACTAAGCTTCATCATCTTGGCTCTTCTAGGGGCACAGGGATGTGGCACTTACCTGCTCCTGCAGTCGGCACCCATGACAAGCCTATGGCTATGAGCAAGGCCAGTAGGACCACCATCTCCAGAGGGCGCCTGGTCCTGTAGAGGAGAGGAGTGAGTGGCTAGCTCTGGTCCCTGATGTCCTCGGTCTGCCTGTCCCAGAAGCCTCCAGTCTCCAGGTCTGGAATCTGCTCCCACCTCCCCACCCTCCGGATCCCTGCTGCCCTCTCCCCAGTGTTCTGCCGCCCCACCCCCACCGCCCCATGTGCTCACACCTCGGAGAAACTTCCTCACACTGTTTGCCCCACAGAGTCTCTGCTCTGGACCACTTGCTGACCTGAGAGATGAGCCGTTAATTCGCCAACAGCCCCAACCACACTCCCTTCCTCAGCAGTCCGTACCTCAGTGTGTCCATGAGTCTTGGCTTCTGACTGGAGAAGTCTGAGAAGCAGCTGGTCTGGGGCCCCGCTCTCCTCACACTGCCCCCTACAGGTGCCGCTGGTGTTCCTTCTGGAACATTCCAGCTCCTGCCCTTCCTGCCAGTGAGGTTCAACCAGAGGGGGCGACTCAGGGTCTGCGTGACACCCGGCAAATGGCGCCCTCTGCCTGACCCCACTGCAATCATTCTTCATGCAGTAGGACCCTGCTCCCCTGAGAGCTGGGCCCCAGACAGCCCCACCCTGACCTTCCTATGCCACCTGGGGCAGATGTGGTGCCAGAGTCTGTGTTCAGATTCGTTCCATGAGTGAATACAAGCGCATACACTGCAGGAGGGACTGGGTTAAGGAACACAGCACCTTCCCCTGGCACAAGAAGCGCTACTGCCGATTTGACAGCCAGATGTCCCTTAGAGAATTCCAGCCAAACTCATTCCCGTTTCTCTTGCTCCCTTTTCACTTTGCTTTCTCCCCACAAGCCTGTGATAATATTTCTTTTTTTTTTTCACAGCTGCATGTATCCTGTATCGGAAATTTAACACGGCGTGTCCTTTAAAATAACAGTAATGTTGGGGACAGTATTCTAAATGTTATATGCAGTACTGAAGTATCTCGAACGCCACTCTCAGTGTATGAAAAATATGCACAAGGGCAGCATTGCTAGCAATGAGGTACCAAGTCAGAGGGTTAGTTGCATTTGCAGCTGAGACCAGTTTTCTCCAGTTGTCGCATTGAACAGTGGGTGACTTTGTCAGTCTATTATCATAAACGACTACCCGAGTCAATGATCTCTATTTTTTTTAAGCAAATAGCATTCTTACCCATCCCTTAGATTCACTCTCTCACGATTTGAATAGAGCCTGGTGTAATTTTTATTCTCCATTTTGAATGAGCTATGCTGAACAAGTATCTTTTTTTTCTAGTGGATATTAGCAATATCTATTTTCAATCTATCTATATTTTTCTATATCCATCCATCCATCCGTGTGTGTATGTGGTTTATTTTCCTATTGATTTCTTTATGAAGAGATTATTTTGTTGTGGTTAATAATAGAAATTCACTTCTTCTTTTACCATTGACTCCAATATTTTAAACCTGGATATGTGTTTATTTGAATGCATGTGTCCCAGGCTTCTTGGACAACTCTAGCAAATGGTGGAAAATGAGGGTATGAACAAGAGAGAGTTATGTCTCACAGCTGTGGAGGCTGACACGTCCCAAGATCAAGGTGCCAAGAGTCTCTATGTCTGCTGAGTGCTTGTTGCTTTTAGCTGGCTCTGCCTATGGTTGCATGGTAAAAGGGAGGAAGGGTTGAACTCACATCCAACAGCCCTTTTATAAGGACAGCTATCTAATCATGGTCTACCCATGCAGTTGGTGCAGCGTCAATGGTGCTGCAGTATGCAGCTGCAGCCTTGGTTATGCTTTGGGAATTGCCCTGCCTTTCCCCAAGGTTCTTAAGGATTCTGGGACAGCCTGCACATGCCGGATGCTCTGCTGTAGTAGTTGTGTACACAGTGGACTACATTACAGTAACGACTTCATACGACATCCTGGTCCAGGGCCTAGAAGCAAGCCAGGAAGTAGCTCCCACATGTGTGGTGTTCTGTGAGGGCTGTGTGGATGTGTTTGTGTTGCTGCCCCTCTGGGCTACAGCTCTTCATCTCCTCTTTTGGCGGCAGTGATCCTAAGAGCATGAGGACCTTCACTCTTCTACGATTGACAACTTGAGCCTAACAGTGACTTTTCCATGAGGCATGTTTGAGCGTGCCTGAACTGAATTTATGTATGTGCACCAAGTGCATGGCTGGAGCCCAAGAAGGCTAGAAAAGGATGTCAGATCCCATGTCACTGTGGTTACAAACTGCTTTGATCTGTCACGTGGGAGCTGGGAACAGAAGCTGCATCCTCCTGAAGAGGAGCCAGTGTTCTTCCCTGCTAAGCCCTCTCTTCAGTGAAGCATGTATACTTTGCAGCACAATGTCTGCTTTCTGCTGAGACCCACATGACAGCAGGGCTCCCAGCAGCAGCTCTGAGGCTGCTCATCCTTGTGCTTGGAAGCTCTGCAAGCCCTTAGAACCTAGTCATGGCTGTCACACAGGCTTGAGCGTGTTTGATTTATGGTGTATTGTCTAAGGGTATACAATTATCACAGATTCTGAGGCAGCCTGTGGCTTCTTGCTGGTGAGAAGTTCCATGCATGTGTAGGCATGTATGCACATGTGTGTATACATGTCAACGCCAGAGGACAACCTTGAGTGTTCTTCCTTAGGGATCATCATCTTGTTTTTGATTTCTTGATACAGTCACGCTTTGCCCTATGGTTCACCTCTTGAGCTATTCCGGCTGGCTACTGAGCCCAAGGAATCCTCCTGTCCCTGCCTCGCCATGTTTGCTACCACACATGGCGTTTTCGTGTGACTTCTGTGGATAGAACTGAGGTCCTTGTGCTTTCAGGGCAAGCAGTTTGTCAACACAGCCATCTCTAGCCCCATGAGAACCTTCTATACAAAACACCTACAGGATCCCTGGTACCATTCACATGGAGAAGTATCCCTGTCAGCTCTGCATCTACAGCGTTATAGAAGGTTCCTAGGATGATCTTGGCTCAATGTTTCCAACATTCTATGTGGCTCTTTTTCTGGATCAAATCACAGAATAGTCTGGTGCCAGCAAAATGAAGAGCACATCTCCTCTAATATGACGCTGATCCCCAGGACAACATCCCTGGTGTTGGTTAATAAAGTAGGACTTTTTCTTATTATGACAGTATTTTACCTCCAGGAGATTTTCCCTCCAAGCAAGCTTGGTCACTCAGATATTTAACTTCTTCTATCCCTAGTAATAATTCATCAACACCCAAACCATTGGAGATAGTCTCCCTGGACTTCAAGGCTTGCTCTGAAGGTGCCCTTTCCAGATATAGCTTAGTAATCTAAGCAAGACATGGCATGTGCCTTAAATTCTCCCTGAAGCAGGCTCCAGGTACAGGTAACTACATGATGACTTGACTTGACCAAGAACTACATACTTGCTAGAAGGATTCTTTAGTCTAGGAAGGGCTTAGACACCCTAGACTCTAGGACCTAGAGCATTCGGGCGGGGCCCGAAAACCCGGTCCAGTCCATTGTATTGTGAAACATTTCTGCGCCATATGAATACTCAGGCACACATCTAATTCTGATGGCCATGCACAGCAATAAGTGACTCAACCCACAGACAGCAAATACAAGGGCTGGTAGGGAGAAGGAGAGGGACTCAGTGGGGAAAGATCCTGCAGTTGAGCATGAGTGCCTGAGTTCATATCCCTAGAAGTCACATAAAGCTGGATGTGGTAGTTCATATCTACAATCCCAGAATTCCATGGCTCAGCAGCAGACACTGCCTCAAACAAGGTGGAAGGTGAGGAGCTACTGCATCCTAGGATATTGCTTGAGAAACTCGGGCCTCAGATAGAATCGATTTCCACTCTGATGTGTATCTTCCTGGGAGTAACATGAGCGAGTGAGTCAGTTGTGCCCACATCTTATCTGTAGACTCTGGCTAAGCCAGCTCGAGTCTCTTCTGGTACTGGATCTGTGTGGCTGCACGTGCACTGTGGCTGGGTTCTGTCTCCAGGGAAGTAGTCAGAGTGGCACAGTGAAGGCTGGGACGCATGTGACCCACTGTGCCCTTCTAGCCAAACACACATTTCTGTATTCTATCCACAGATGTCAAAGCCACACCTTCTCATAACCTGCCTCTTACCAACCTGTCTGTGATGAAGCAAGACAAGGCTCTGTATGTGTGCGTATCTGTGTGTCTGTGTGTGTATGTGTATCATTGAGGGTGATGCCACCCTGGGCTGGTGATTCTGGGTTCTATGAAAAAGTAAACTGAGCATGGTATAAGGAGAAAAGCAGTAAGCAGCACCCTTCTGGGTTTTTTGTTTGTTTGTTTTTTTGTTTTGTTTTGTTTTTTTGAGACAGGGTTTCGCTGTAGCTTTGGAGCCTGTCCCGGAACTAGCTCTGTAGACCAGGCTGGTCTCGAACTCCCAGAGATCCGCCTGCCTCTGCCTCCCAAGTGCTGGGATTAAAGGCATGCGCCACCATCGCCCGGCAAGCAGCAACCTTCTATGTCTCTGCATTAGCTCCTGCCCTCAGGTTCCTGCCCTGCTTTAATTCCTGTTCTGATTTTCTTCAGTGATGAACTACAGGGTGGAAGTCAAAGAAATCCTTTCCTGCCATAGTTACTGTGGTCATGGTATTCCATCACAGCAATAGCAATCCTAACTAAGGCAGTACGCCATCAAAAACAAATGGTTTCTGGAGATGTGGCTCAGTGAATAGCACCTCTTGCAGCATAAGCATGAGGACCAGAGTTCTATCCCCAACTTCCTTGTAAGAAGCCAGGCGAGGCCGGGCGGTGGTGGTGCATGCCTTTAATCCCAGCACTCGGGAGGCAGAGGCAGGCAGATCTCTGGGAGTTCGAGGCCAGCCTGGTCTACAAAAGCTAGTTCTGGGATAGGCACCAAAAAAGCTACAGAGAAACCCTGTCTCGAAAAACCAAAAAAAAAAAAAAAGAAGAAGAAGAAGCCAGGCATAGGGGTGGAGGTGTGCATCTGTAACCCCAGCACCGGGGAGTGGAAATAGGAAAGTCCCTGGAGCTCACCAGTCAGCCAGTCTAGACAAATTAATGAAATCCAGGTTCAGTGAGAGACCCTGTCTCAAAAATAAGACGGCAAGGGATGGAGAACTAGGCCAGGCTGATCCCTGACCTCCCTGGTTTATCTCCTTTAGAATCACGTGCTAGGCCCGGCGGTGGTGGCGCACGTCTTTAATCCCAGCACTCGGGAGGCAGAGGCAGGCAGATCTCTGTGAGTTCGAGACCAGCCTGGTCTACAAGAGCTAGTTCCAGGACAGGCTCCAAAACCACAGAGAAACCCTGTCTCGAAAAACCAAAAAAAAAAAAGAATCACGTGCTAGACAAGCCTCTGGGTGTGTTTGTGAGGGAGTTCTCTATTGGGTTGATTGGCAGATAAAAACTCATTGTAATTGTCTGTGACGGCAGCCTATGGGCTGGAGACCTGAGCCGAATAGAAAGAAGAGATGATTGGAGAACCAGCACCCATGTCTCTGATTCTAACAACAGATGCAATATAACCAGCAGCAGCCTGAAGCTCTTTCCTGCTGTGGAATAGGCCTCTTG